TCAAACTAAAACCGGTTTGAAAAATCATTTTTGGGTTCTATAATTTTTTAAGACCAGCTTTAGTCTGAATAATTAACGACATCCAAACCAATAATGGTCTGGAAAGCTATTGCCGACGTACGTCTAGTTGAAATGATGTTGGGTCAAACTTTATTTATTTGTTTTGACCGGCTTCAGACTGTTACCAATCCGAATAATGGTCTGCAAATTCACTCTACGGACCCTTCTTCCTTCATCCCTTCAATTATTTCTCATTTGATATCTCTCATTTTTCATCCCATTTTTCACCCTTTGCTCCTCCAAAGTTCTCCTTCATCATCTACCTACCAATTACAAAGGTAAGAGTTATTTTTTGGCCGGTTAAAGGCCAAAAATTAGCCTCTTTAATTTTTTTTTGAATTTTCTACATTTTCACAAAATTTTCTTGAAATCCAACACCTTCAACCCAGATCTTACCATCTAAGGTCAGTCTCACCATCATTCATCACCAATTTACATCCTAAGTGAGTTTTTTTATTTCATTATTTTGAATTTATCTTGAACTTTTTTGTATTTTTGAGAAAATTAATAAAATTTAATATTTATTAAATAAAATTATAAAATAGATATTGTTCGTGTAGATGTATTTGGTTATTTAATTGTAAGTATGATGTAAATTTTATGATATGAGAAAAATAATGGAAATTTGTATTTTACTTATTTTTCCATAAGTAATTTATAAATCTTGCCATCTAAGGTTATCCTCACCATCATTCATCTTAGATCCAGACCTTAAGTGAGGTTTTTTTTTTTTTTTTCATTATTTTGAATTTATCTCGAATTTTTTCTTATTTTTTAGAAAATTAATAAAATTAATATTGATTAAATAAAATTGTAAAATAGATATTGTTTGCATAGATATATTTGGTTGTTTAATTATGAGTATGGTATAAACTTTTATGGTAGAGGAAAAATTATAGAAATTTAAATTTTACTTATTTTTACATAAATAACTTATAATAATTTAATATTATAAAATATTTTGTTAGATATTTTTAATTGCTCGTATAGAGTCATTTTATTATTTGGTTGTAAGTATTGTATAAAATTTTATGTTATAAAAAATGTATAGAAATTT